TTTAAATTGCAATTTGTATGATTTTTTTTTTATTTAATGTCAAAATAGCAGAGAAAATTTTCTATATAAAGAAATGTTTTAAATCAAAAGAGAATAATATCTTTTCTTCTTTTGTTTTTTTGTACAGCGTTACGATGTTTACGGAAATGAAAAATTAATATTAAAATAATCATAATAGAGTAATCCGATATTAGAAAAATAATAACGAAGAAGAATATATAATTATACACAGACAATTCTCTTCGCTAATGTTAGTTTTTATCATCGTAGATTAACTGTAATCTCGATTTGTTATTCGACTTATTATTTAGTTTTTACGGAAACGAAAAATTAATATTAAAATAATTACAAAAATAATCAAATATTGGAAAATAATAATAAAGGGAAATAATTATAAATGTAGACAATATTTTTCCGTTAATTTCCGTCTCCATCAATGTTAATGTAAATTAAACCGACATGAAAGTTAATCTATGTTGAAATGAACACAATAGTTACTATGTGTAACAAAAATATATCATAATCCACCAACAGTTGTCGCAAGAGCGTTCGTCTCTCTCATTATCTATCTCTCAACTACTACCTATTAGTCTCAATGACACCGATCTATTTTGCAGACAAGACCCAGCTTCGTTTCCGATCAGATGATCGCAACCGCAGCCAGTGTCGTGAACGCCTGCCAAACGCAAACGGGAGTTGCCACAGGTATATTATTCAACGAGAGAGTTCGTTCACCCCAACGTGAATGAAATTATCGATCGCACTTTTAATTATCGCGACGGCGCATAAAGTTATACAGCTGATACTCGCAAAATTGATTATCCTGTTTGAATTAAATCGATAAAACTATTTCACGGAGATTCGGGGATTCAGGATTGGTTTTTTTTAAAATACTATCGATTTCAGGCGGTCGGGGATGAATTGCGTGAGCGTGTTTTTCTTTTAACTCGATATTTTAAATTTGTTTGATTTTTTATCTAGCATTAAAAATGCAGAGAAAAAATTAAAATTAAAACATTCTTTAACGTCTCACATGTTAAAAGAATGATGGTGAATTCTATTTTGCACCCTATTAATTAATGCGTACAAAGTACATTTATTTCGTGTTTCAAGAGAGTAATTACAATGTAAAAATTATTTGTCAAATATATATTAATAGATATATTTAATATACATTAATATATATGGAATACGTCCTTTTTTTTAGCCGACATAGAAGCGGTAAGAAACGGTCAATGGCCGGAAACACGTCAATTGAAGGTGAGTACACAAGGCATGTGAATTACATCTAGCAAAAAAGAAATCCTATAAAGAAAGAACGATTTTGTCGAAATATCTAAAAATTTAGCTAGCTATAAATCCGAAAATAATTTTGTTGGACTTCAAAATAATTATGCAGGAAATTCAAGCATGAGCAATGCTGCAAAATATTTTGATATTCCAGCAAAAGTTTGAGCGAATTATATAATTATATAATTATTTCAATAATTCCAAAAAATTATTTTCAGATCTATTTCTAGTTAAATTTTTAGATACTTCTATAAAACTGTTTTTTCCGTGCAGCATCGCGTGGTCGACGAAATAAATATATGTATATGTATATAGTAAGAGAAAATATATGTAAACTCGCAGAAATTAAAGACTGTCCGATCTGATTTCTCGTAGTGCTACATGTATTGTCTCTGGGAACAATTCGGACTGGTCGACGACAAGAGAGAGCTAAGTCTGAACGGGATGCTGACGTTCTTCCAGAGAATACCCGCCTATAGAGCCGAGGTCGAGAAAGCGATCAGCGAGTGCAAGGGGATCGGTAACTATTTGGGTATCTACTGTCCTTTTCTTTTTCGTTCGTCCCGTCGATCGATTGCGTGTGCTCGAAACTTCTGAAATCGCGCTGAAATTAAGTAAAAATTATTACTAAAGTTAAAATTATTACCAAAGTATTTTATATTATTTAATAGCGACTTGCTTCGAAATTAAGAGAATCTGAAGCTGATACAAGAGTCCCTTACAGAAATCCAATTTAATACTAGAAGTTATCTTAAGAGAAATGTTTGATATAAATAATCATTTATTTTATTGATATGTGATTTATGAAAATATTTCAACCAAATTGTGATTAGAAAAATAAAATTTTTAAATTAAAATGAGAAAGTTTTTTAAGTCACATACCAACGAAATAAATAGTTACTATATCAAACATTTCTCTCATTGTATTTATTTTAAGTATTAAAAACACTGTTGTTCGATACTCTCTCTGAACAATTTCAATATTCAAAGTAATTATAATCTTTATCTTCTGAAATTAAATTTTTATTGGAGTGGAATTGATGATCCAAGAAACAGAATGATGTCTTTAATGCTCATTTCGATCGCAATTATAAAAAAAAGGAATTGCGGATCAAAAGACTCCTTTAAAGATATCTTTTTATATCTCTTGAATTAATTCACATTTATGAATGGGGAGAATTATTAAAATAAAAACCTCTTCAATATCGAAAGCTTCGAACTTTTCTTTCAACATTAATTATCTTTTTTTTAATTCTCCGATATTTTAGTTTCATTTTATTTTCGATTACACATGATCCTTCGTGTCCTGTCACGTAAAGCAATTAATAACTATAAACTACTTCTCTGTTTACAGCGAAGGGCGATAATTGTGAATACGCGTACGCGTTCAACAAATGCTACGCGGAGCTATCTCCTAGGGTAAGTGATTTCGTATTGTTTAATCGCAATGGATTATCCTCATCTCATGCGTGATCGCAATGTACATTTCAGACTTACTATCTATTCTAATGAGTGGGGCGAGGATGACAGCGTAAGAAGACCAAGAACAAAATGCTCAAGATACAATTTCGTGTCGAGATGTTTTTACGTTTAAAACTACTTTCCACTTTATCCTGTAACCTCTGTACATGCCGTATTGCGTATTCGATAAAATAAAGAATTCAGCGGTCTAATCGATAATTTTCGACTATCTTGCTTCCTCCCTTAAAAAAGGATTATTTCTCCCAACAGAAATTTAATACTGACCAATTTAACATCCAAAAATTATTTATTTTAGTATTAAAAGCATTCAACAATAATAGCCTTTAATAGTCAAAATAAATAATTAAGCACTACCTTCTAGAGTATTAAATTTTCGTAAGGGTTGTACTTTCGCTGCACAAACGTGTCTCACTTTTTGAAGTGCAAATAGCTTTTGTACAAATTATGACGTCAGAGATTCTTTTTTTTCCAGGAAGACCTATGATTTATATAAAGTGTCTCTATCGGATTGATTTGATAAATTGATGGCGCTCTCGTTTGACAAGACCGAGTTTGATATCACAGATTGCGGCAGTGAAACGCTCCAATTGTCGGTTGAGGTCATACTTGATGATCGAACGTAACGGAAGGAGAGGTTTACAACTATGACACACTTGAAACGTTCATTCGCAAACGAGTCCTTTGTGACGATGAGAACAGAAATAGCGCCGCGGATCGTGTGCGTGTGGCAAGTGGAAGAGCATTACGATATAACGCAACGCAACTCTTCTCATGAATACGAGAAAGACGTAAAATTCGTAACTATTATATCTAGATCATGATTATTATACTCTCTAGAAAATGTGAGTGTGGATTTATTAACCCCTTCAGAACTGATTTTATTCAAACTATGATAAATTTTTTTTAAATTTAATTCATGCGCATTTTAATATAAATACTTCATACTAAACAATTTTTTTTTTAATTTTGACTATTTTTCCAGCATGTATATTATTATGTACATCAGATCTCAGATCCTAGGCAGCACACAATATTTATAAAATATTTACAAAATATTTATAAATATTTATAAGATTTATTTTAAATATTT